CCCCCCGCCGCCTGCCGCCCCGGGCTCGCCCCGCCGCGCCCGCGCGCCCTTAGCCGGGCCACCAAGCGATGCCCGCTGGGCGTCCGCGAAAGTTTGTCGGCTCCCGCTGAAGGGCAGCGGCGCCCCTGCGCCCCCGCGCCCCGGCTCCGGCCGAGGTGAGTTTGCTCCCGCTCCTGCCGCGCTCGAGTCGGATTGGGGTGACTCGGGGCGGGGGCCAACTCATCCGAGGCAGTCCCGGAGGCGACCTCTCGGCTCCCGGCAGACCCGGGACTCCGCAGCTCCTGGGGAGGAGGGCCCGGGGTGGGGGGCCTGGCCAGGCGGGGAGACGAGAGCCCTCGAGCGGGGAAGTTACCCGATCCGAAGAGTTTCCTGCCCCGACGTGCGGGCTGTTTCCCGGTGCCTCGATTTTCGAAAAGACGCTCTAAAGGAACAGAGTTGGTATTGTCCGCGGAGGACAGGATCCCCTCCGTTCCGGGCCAGGGCGAAGGGGCCGATCAAAGGGAGACCCCACGATGAGAAACAGGCTCCTAACAAAGATCCCCCCTCCCCAAACTGTGCAAGCTTGGCACGGGCAGAGAGCGTCTCCCGAGACTCTCGAGGCCCTTCCCCTCCTCACCCCGGGCCTCTTTGAAGCCCTCCTTGGGGCCTGAAGAAGTTGGGGGACCGTGGGCTTTTATTGATGTGTTTTTAAGGCTCGCCGCGGTGCGGCCAATAAAAGGTTTATGACATCTGACCGGCAGTGAAGGTATGCGAGCTCCCAATTGCCCTGTATACGGGGAGAAGAGCAGTTTCCCCGTTGCCTGGCAACGCCACTGATTGACGCGGGACGCAGCCAATCGCCGGTCCCGCAGGTCCCCTTGAAATGTTTTTGACAAGTACAGTAGTCGGGAGTGGAGCGCGTGCGTGCGTGCGCGCGCGCGGAAGCGGAGGGTTACCCGCCCCCCCCCAACTAGCAACTGCCCTGCTCCGCTTGGGGAGAATTTCTCAACTTTTTAAAGTTCACGGTGAACATCTGCTCAGAGCTGGGCTAGTAATGTCTTTGTCAGTTATTTGGAGCCCTTCTGGTAGTGGGGCAAGAGACTAGCTTTCCTGCTGCGTCTCCTCCGTTAAAAAGAAAAAAGATAGCAAAACACAGCAAGTCATTAATAAAAGAAAAAAACAAAAACAAGAGGGTGTTTCTGGGGAGAACACAACCAATAGCAAACCGAAAAGTTGTAAGGAGGTCACTAGTGAATAATTATTTGCGTATCTGGTGGAGCAACCTTATTGGCAGCAGATTTAAAATGTTTGCTGAACTGCAGACTCACATGATTCGGATTCTTCCCCCCCCCCCTAAAATAAGAGGAAAAAAGATTTGGCGAATTATGTAGTTAGAGTATAATAACGGAAAACTCCTCAGCTGTGGTTTCTGGGAACTGTTTTTTAAAATGGAACTGTACTGATCAGCAGCTCTTGACACCGCTGCTATAAAATGCGGGATTTTTAGGGATGCATTTAACAGTTGGAGAGCATGGGGGTTACAGACACACAAAGCAGACAAGTGATCCAAGGAGGCTGAACCCCCGTAACCCTCTTTTCTTGACAGTGCTGTTTTTTTTCCTGATAAAATGATATTGCTGGCAATGTTTGTTTAAAACAAAAGAAAACATGGAGAATAGCATGTTAGTTCCTTTGGGAAGCTACTGACAAATAAGCAAATTAAAAAGAAAGAGAGCAGCATGTTGTCATAGCAACAGTGCAATTAAATTACTTTACTGTCAGCCATGATATAATTTTCCTGTTTGGAAGCTGAGGAGACATAAAACTTTCATCTGGAGCTAAAGTTGACTTCAGCGGCTGGGTGGCTGTTCTCTTTTGTACTCGGCTGTGGGGATATTCCTGGTTATCAGAAAATTAGGTTTTTTGATGGGATTCTTGGAAACTGAGGGAAACAAGTCTCGCTTTGATTTGCTCATAAGGAAGGTAAAAGCAGTGTCAGGTTATTTTTTAAAATGTGTCATGTGCTACTCAGGTCAGCCTCCTTACTTGACAGAAAGATGTTCCCCGTGGATGCACCTGAGGTGTCTGCACTGCCCTGCTCCGTGGCATGTTGGTGCTTGGGGAAGGTTTCTCTCCTGCGAGTTGGGCATCTCACAGCAGCTCCAGAAGCAACCCTGCAGGCCTTCTGTTTCTCAGAGTCTGTTTGTCCACCTTTTAGAGGAAGGAGAGTCTTGCTGCTTTCCAGCACCCTTGGCTGGCTGTTTAGGGCCCATATTATGTTTTCTAGAATCTCATTCTAGAGCTTCTCCAGCTGAAGTGGCAGTTATTTTAGGCGTGGACATTGCGAGCTTTAGAATGATCATGTCTTTGCTTTCAGTGTGTTTGTTCTTTTTTCTAGATAGACTGCTTGATCTTCTTACTCAGGGTAGGGTAGGGGATAAAACAGACAGGCTTCTTAAACAGAGCACATTGTTTGAGCGCTGCAGACCGAGAGTGGGAGACCTCTTTGAATACTGTTCTTTCTCACATCGAGCGTTCGAGGGTGGAAAGTGCTTTGTATCTGTCGGGGTCATTCTGTCTGTGGACTTGTCACCTCCCCATTTTCTTTTCTCATCAGGTATTTGACTCCCTGTTCTAGGTCACTGATAAAAATGGGGCAGGGGCAGAATAGAGTTCTGTCTCAATTTTTATTGGATTTGCCTTCTTGTCTTAAAGCTCCTGGTTGCTCTCCTGACTTTTTTCCCCACCAATTCTAATTTCAGTTAATAGCTCGTCTTCCCATTTATTTATGTGGTGCCTGAAGTTACTCACTTTTTCATTCAGAGTGTTGTGTCCCAAGAAAATTAAATGCGCTCCCTCCTCCAGTATGAATCCAGAGAATTCCCTGGCATCACTCTTCAGACTTGCAAAATGTCATTAAAGTTGCAGAGTGTTTGCTCATGACTTGTGGAAAGAAAAATTAAATAACACACTATCAGACTGATGTTCACCATGGCCACAGTTTTAATTCCCAGGCAGCTGTGATGGTCTTTTATGGAAACAGCCAAACTTAATCTGAAACAACTGGCCTTAAAACTTACAGGTTATTTTTTTTTTTTGAGAAAGATAAACGGTGAGACCTGTCATTCAAAGTGACATGGGTTGTGGTTTCACTTACCTTCTGGTGTTCATTGTGAGGCTGAAAAGAATTTTTCCTGTGTACATTTTCGTGTATAATAGGTAAACTGAGGCAGCAAGCAATAACTGATTTTCCCAGGGTTACAGTGAGCACCTTCATAGATCAGGAAGAAGGCTCTGGCATTTTCCATTCTTTTTGTGATACACGTGCACATTAAGGTGCCCTGAACATTTCCAGTCTTGTATTGAAGGGGTGACAGGCCATTGTGCTATGTGCATGGTGGGCCAACTTGACTAGTATTACCAGGGCATCTCTGGTAGAATGTGGGTTGTGTTACTCGATGTGGGAGCCAGGAGTGGGTGTTCTTAAGCAGGAGGGGGTCCATAGAGATTGTTGGAGTGGGAGGAGGCATCATAATGAGGGAGGGCACAGTTGCCTTTCTCCTTTGCCCTTCACCCTCTCATCTTTTTTCTGTCCTGTGTTTACCAGGAGCCTTCACGTAAATGGGCCCAGTCATGCCTCCCAGTAAGAAGCCAGAAAGCTCAGGAATTCGTGTCTCCAGTGGGCTGAGTCAGTGTTACCGGGGCAGTGGTTTCTCCAAGACCCTGCAGGAGGACGATGACCTCGACTTTCCTCTGCCTGACATCCGACTAGAAGAGGGGGCAATGGAAGATGAAGAGCTGACCAACCTGAACTGGCTGCACGAGAGCAAGAACTTGCTGAAGAGCTTCGGGGACTCGGTCCTGCGGAGTGTCAGCCCCGTCCAGGACCTGGACGATGACACGCCCCCATCCCCCGCCCACTCTGACATGCCCTACGATGCCAGGCAGAACCCCAACTGTAAACCCCCCTACTCCTTCAGCTGCCTCATATTTATGGCCATCGAGGACTCTCCAAGCAAGCGCCTGCCGGTGAAGGACATCTACAACTGGATCTTGGAACATTTTCCGTATTTTGCAAATGCACCTACTGGGTGGAAAAACTCAGTGAGACATAATTTGTCATTGAATAAGTGTTTTAAGAAAGTGGACAAAGAGAGGAGTCAGGTAAGCCTCTGGATCTGGAATGCAAGTTTGCTTTTTTTCAATTAAACTTTTTTCTCCATTAATAAAAAAAATCCAGGAATGTAAGGTCACCATATGGAAGTAGCAGATTTAAAGGAGTAATTCTGTCTTGTTGTATTCATTTAGATAGTTGTCAGGAACTGCCTTTTCCTGTTT